AAAATACAGTGGATGAAACTACAGTTTTATATCACAGTTTCAGTTTTAAAGTAATCAGAGTTTTACGACGCACTGTTTTTGGTTTTCCTTTCTAAAATTTAATTGAAATTTTTATTTTTGATAGTTTTGATTGATATACATATAGATTTAAATATGTTCACAAAATTGAAAAAATACAAATTCATTCTTCATTCTCAAATACTTGTAAGGTTTTATTATAGTTAGATATGCGTTTCTTTCTGATATTGTTGATCGTCGAAGTATTTATCACAAGAAACGGTCAAATTATTGATATGATCTCTGATTGCAAAGATCAAAAAGACAGTTCGGAAACATCTTCATAACAAACATCGAAAAATTATATTTCCGAAACTGATCTAGCAAGCCATTCCTGAGTTCGGCTCTTACTCGCAATATCCTCATCATAATCCATACAAATTTTTCGGTATGTAATTGCAACAGGTATTTCTTCAAATATTTCACTGATTTTCAAATCAGTTCATTGAATTTTAGGGAGAGATATTGGGAAGGTTTGTGGATGTAATTATTTATCAGCCTTCCAAGAATGAAGTAGAAGACTCATTCAATATTCTGAATTTATATTTTCAAACGAATGATACTACAACAGAAGATCACTATTAGAGTACGAATAAAGTGAAATATATTTTTACTGAAAACAAAAAAAAAAATTAAAGTTTCAAACACTAATTTCTAAATTAATTTCTAATATAAATTAATTTCACTGATTTATTTGATAGCAAATAAATAAATATCTTAATATGTAATTCTAGTTTCTTTCAAAAATAAAAAAAAAAATAAAAAAAAATTCTTTAACTCGAAGTTTCCATAAGTCGAACCTTTTCTTTGCAAAATTGGACTTCGATTTATGGAAGTTTGACTGTATTTAGCTAAATGGGTGCCAATATATATATATGTATATATTTTGACTTGAAAGATTTATAAAAGTATTCTTTGTTCTTGTAGGAGTACGGTTTGAACAGTGGTTTGCATTGTCTTCCTAGTACACTAGCCGCATATGATTCTCCCTCTCTTTAATTATTTGTTTTGTACTTGCCCAGTTTAACCCACAAAAGGGTTGAGGATCTGTGAAAGCGGTTACCAAAACTCCTTTGCGGTCCGAAACCCAGTAAAGACTTACCTTATTCCGAGTTGCAAGTAACTGTAGAAGCCCATAACATTCAAGGACCTGTTTCGACTTAAAAGTCCAAAAGATAAAGCTTTAAGAGCATCCTGGCTGTCAGAGTAAAAAACAATTCTCTATCCATACGGTAAACTAAGTTAAAAGGTCTGGGTCTCGCAGTCATAACAACTTTTTCAAAATTTGGTATTCAGTTTTTAACTTCTATTATGAATAAATGCTTCTAAAACAGTAACTCTATAACCATATTGAAAGTATATGTATTGATTGTAATACGAAAAAATAATCTTTCAAGCTTGTGCAAACCTATAATCCTACTGACATCCAGTTAAAACTAACTTTAAAAAAATATGCAAGATATGTAAAAAAATATACAAAAATTTTATTTCAAAAAAAAAAAAAAATAAATGAAAAATTAAAAAGAATTGAGTTTTCTTTCCTTTCGCATATTAAAAACTTTAAATAGTTCAAAACAGAGTAGTGAAGTCCATGTAGAGATTTACTAAAACAATAGAATTCTTTACTCTTAACTGTTTAATGAATATTTTTGAAAGATAGTACGAGTATATTGTATATTACGTATTACATATTTACAATAGGTATAAGTAATATGCCCGTACGTAGTGTGAGAGTGATGAGGACAGACTATGCTTAAGGTACGTGTACCGTTAAGTACATATTTTCAAGAATAATTTACAAGTAAAAAGGTATTAGACATGTAATACTTAAAACGCTTTTACCTGCTAATCCGCTAAAATAAATTGTCAACAATCATAGTCTTAATTTTGAACTTAGTTAATTAAATTAGTCAATTAAGTTAGTCAGAAGTACCTTTAAGATACCATTTCAAATTACAATGTGTTTGTCAGTATAAAAAGGCAAGGAAAAACCATCGCCGATACCAAAAAGTAGTAGCAAGCACACTGCAACGGTACATTTGTCCAATTTCACCAATCGGAAATTCAGGAACAAAGTCGCCATATAAAAAATGAGAATTCGAAACATGTAAATTTTGGGACTAACATCAAGCTTATTAAAACGTACGTAAAATCCTTAACTTTTTAAGTGTCAATTTATGAAAATATTGGAATTGGAGAGTAACAGAACAACAGATATAGAAATGGCTTCGACTGGAATTATAAATTATCTGCGCGATAGCAGTAACAAGAGTCTAGCTGATTTTGTGCCTTCTGAAATTTATCACATGATTGATCCATATTGGTACAGTTGGCCACCAATGGAACCAATGTGGTTTGGAGTTATCGGTTTTTTCGTATCGATTTTGGGCGTAATGTCATTATCGGGCAATTTCATTGTTATGTATATATTTACTTCATCAAAATCACTCCGAACGCCATCAAATATGTTCGTTGTGAACCTTGCCTTTTCAGATTTCATGATGATGTTTACAATGTTTCCACCAATGGTTTTAAATAGCTTCTATCAAACCTGGATTATGGGACCGCTTTTATGTGAAATTTATGGTCTCTGCGGTTCATTATTCGGATGTGTGAACATCTGGTCAATGACTTTAATTGCACGTGATCGCTACAACGTTATTGTTAAAGGTATATCACGCAAACCTTTAACTGCTACTGGTGCTTTAATTCAGCTATTGGTTATTTGGTGTATTTGTGGCATATGGTCCATTTTACCAATGTTGGGTTGGAATCGTTATGTACCAGAGGGAAATTTAACTGTATGCGGAACTGATTATTTTGCTAAAGATTGGTGGAACCGTTCCTATATTATGGTTTATTTCGTTTGGGTTTACGTGACTCCATTATCTACAATTATTTACTCGTACTGGTATATTATGAAGGTAAAAAATAATCCAATCTAATTCAATTTAGTTGTTTATATTGATAATATTACTTTATAACAAAACAATCAAAATTATTGTGTCCTATTAATAAAAAAAAAAATCAAAACTCATCTAGGCTGTCCGAATCCATGAACAGCAAATGCGGGAACAAGCAAAAAAGATGAATGTGGCTTCTTTACGAAACAGTGAGGCTGATAAGGGTAAATCAGTCGAAATTAAGTTAGCAAAAGTTGCTTTGGGTAAACATATTAATATTACAATAACTTTTTAATTGTCTAATTAATTGTCTAAAATTTGTCTAATTAGTTACAATATCTTTGTGGTTCTTCGCATGGACGCCTTACACAGTAATAAATTTTTCTGGTATATTTGGTTCTATGTATCTTTCGCCTTTAAGTACTGTTCTGGGTTCAGCTTTTGCAAAAGCAAACTCAGTGTATAATCCAATTGTGTATGGACTTAGGTGAATTTAGTATTTATTTTATTATAAGTTTATTTAATACTTTTTATTTCATATTTTTAACTGGGCAGTCATCCCAAGTACAAACAGGTGTTACGTGAGAAGATGCCATGTCTGGCATGTGATCGCAAAGATACTGGTTCTGATGCAAAAACTCAAGTTACTGCAGAATACAGCGAGTCGGTAGCCTAAAACTACCACTCAAAACTTATTTTAAGCAATAGAAGGAACTTCGGCCGTTTCATTGATCTTTAATAATATTGTAAAAAACGTATAGATTTCAGAAAATGTTATTCTCTTCAAAATAAGTTTAAATGCGGAAGTAACATACGTGACGAAACTAAGTTATAAATAAAGCAAAGCATTTGATTAAAAATCAAGAAATCTCATTTTACTTAACTAATGTAATATATATGCTTTCATCGTAATGCATATATTGATATTATCGGGTTATTTGGAAAGTAATTTTAATGTTGGTTTTAGCCAACAAATGCCTTAAAATGTACTTTATCGCATTCAATTTCACATTTAACCCGCATTGCCATAATATATTTTGATCACTGATATGACAAGGATTGTTGGTGAAGTAGTTTGTCTGATTTTGTGTAATATGACAAGTTTTAGGAGTTCACACTGTGGCAGACATTTGCAGTTATATAACCTGTTTGAACTTTATCCACATACGAGTTCCTCATTTAGTTCTTTCTAAGAAAAATATTATCCGCAAGACCGAGTTGTATTTTAACATCACAATATTTTAAAAATATATTTTTCAAATTCAAGTTTTTATTATACAACAGTTGTGTTCTTTTCAACCTGGACAAATGTTTTTGTTACTTATTGGCCGAAACTATTTCACTGTACTTCGTCCCTCTTACAATAGCCTCACGCCACACATAAATACGGCAAGGTTCTTGAAACGTGATACAGATTACACTCAATTTCTCTATTTAGCACGTTACCCATCTTGTTCTGACTAAATTTCTTCTCTAAACCAAATCAAGCGTTTCTTCTTTTTTACCTACCACTTATATCTCTCTAACATGGAAGTACATAGATGTCGACGACTGTTCAATAAACCTGTTATGCTCATATAGAATCAAAACCTTAATGTCCTCCCTTTTCAGTACGCGATAAATTAAATAAATATATAATACATAAAGGTTAGTGCAAGTTAAAGAGTATTAAAAATAGAAATTAGAACTGCATTTGAATATTATATCTAAGCTAACCTGAATAATCTATCGAATAGAATGTATGTATAATATTTTATAATATTTCATTAAATATTATATATTATAATATAATATATAATATTTCATTGTGAGAAATGATTCTTCTGTTCAAAAAGTTTTAAAATATCCAGTTGATAATAGTAAATATTTTAATATTAATACTTATTTAAATTTAGTTATATTTGTATAATAAGTAAAATGGTGAAATAAAATGATGTGCTATGATAAATCAACAGGGTTTTATGTATTTAAATAGAAATTCAGTTCTCGTTTAATATACACATTTTTGATATGAAATTCACAAATTTTAAAAGTAATTAAAAAAGTTTTCTTTATGCTGTAAATGCTTTATTGTAGCAACTGCATTTGCAAAAGAAATAAAGGTGAAAGTGATTCAACATTTCAAACAACTTCATTAATATTAAGTTATCCATAGTAAGGCTGTCGATTAATTTCCAAATGGGTGGCGTTGTCCTTTTTATCATTAGATTGTTCGTCGTGGTCTCGAAGCAGTTCGTTATGGGTAAACAGTGCCCGTCCTTGTAGCAAAATAAAGTCAATAAGCCGTTTATTCGATATCATCTTAATTGTGTTGGGGTCAGATCGTTTCCGTAGATAATTAAAGCAACATGTACTGCATAAGAAAAATTTTAAAGAAAATTTTATCAATTCGTATAGGCAGAGGAGTATCTACAAATAGACTTGCAATATAGATGGCTTTTAATAGAATTTGGCAAGGCATATTTATGCGTATTTATAAAAATATGCATATATAATGTAATGTTTAATCAGTAATGGTATTGCAAATCTTTTGTAAGCACTCCTTCCAACCCGACACATTTTTGCCCTGTTACCGGAAATGTTTTGTGCCACATGCGCTAGCACATTCGTTACCACAGGAATCACACGGAATTGCTGTAACCGTAAATATATGCATGTAACATATGCCTGCAAGTACAGCAGTATTAAACAATAACAATGAAATGAAACGAATTAAATAAATAAAATATTAATTTAATCACAACTGTTAAGTGCCTGACAAACAGCTTTATTTTTTTAATGCACACTCTCAATTTTTTAGATATCATTAATCATAATTTTTTATTTGCCCAACTTACACAAAAAACAGAAGTATGTTAAAAATATTAATTGCATATTTGTAGTTTTTAAGATGCTTGCGAATAGATGGATTTAAAAGCATTCGAACGCCATTTGATAATCCGTGCAAGTGATTCGCAATATTTTAAAGATACAACCGATGTGTATCACGGCAAATGACCAAAGAACTAAATACAGCGGGACGAGCTTATATATTAGGAGTTTAGAATAAATAATAGCATCCGATGGTTTGAATTATCAATGCAAATAACTTGTGTATGTAGATGGAATAAATTAAAGGATGAAAGCAGATAAAGGATAAAGACTACCTGTAAGGAATAACAAATTCAAGAACAAAATATTTATGTAATCAATACGAGTACAAAGTTTTAATGCAATTCTAGCAATCCCAAAAGAAAGTATCAATGGGAGGGTACGGCATTGGTTTATAAGTGTAACCCACATCCCTTGTTGTTGGGATATCAATAAAAAATTATATTTATTGTAAGCATCTCTCAGCTCGCATGACTATAGGTAAAACTTATAACATAATTCATTCAACTGCATTTCTCTGTTGATATTTCAAATTGTCACAGAAACAATAATAGCTCTACAATACATGTTCATATGTTTCGCCCACATTATGTAATATTATGTGAATACTTCCCTTTATCCTATAATAAATTAATAATTTTACATTACATCACAGGAGTGTGAATAAATATAATCTGAGACAGTGGCATATTTGTTGCCGAAGTTGATTGGTTACCCCATTCCATTTAAGCTACCCACTTTTGAGTAAGACAAAAATGATTTCTGTAGTAGAAATATAACCACAATGGAATATATATATTAAATATAAGTAAATAATATGTAAAAAAGTGTAAAAAATGTGTAAAATATGTAAAAAAGTTTATAACGTATGTGATGTTAAAAAAAAATTCAATAGCGGTTAATGACATCCTTTATAGTCAAACCAGAAGGTAATTTTGGCAGGTTTTCAGATAAATGTTTCTCTTATTAAACACTTATGATAAGTGTTTAATATAATTTGGATTGAACAATCAATTTTACTTAAAATTTATATGTTTACTATGAAATTTTTAGAAAAAAATTATTTTTAGAAATACTAGAGCTTTTTATAGAGCCCCCTATGAGCTTCGCTCGCCAACCTCTATTTTATTCGTACGCACTTTTTCATATTCAACAATATGTATGTATATGCTTTTAATATACAATCCCAGCATTAAAGCCCAGTTAGTCTGTACGTATCGTAAGAACTTAAACGAACTTAACCCAAAGCGAAATGCACAAGCAAAAACTCCTGTGTAATTAATAGAAATAACCAAACTTTATTTCGGCGAACTTTATTTCGTTCCTATCAATTGCACAGTTTGGGTTGGTTGTGCATTTCACTGTAACTTGAATTCTTACTGAATGTACCGTCTAATTGAGCCTTGAGCCTTAAAGAGTAACGAACTTTGTTTATTTTTTTCCTATCAAATACACAAGTGTGGTTGATTGGCTTGAGTATTCGCTTTGGCTTGAGTTTGCTTAAATTATTAAGGTGCGCACCAACTAACTGAACCTTAAGTCAAAAATTGCTCCAGTTCCACCTTATAAATGATTGTCCTCTTCTTCGTCCCTCTCCCTCTTGACGAAACATTGACATTTTTTCCAACATTTTTTGATTTCTCTTTGTGGACATGCTCTGCATTTTTTGTGCGCTTTCTTCACTGTCTCGTCGCCTCTATGCTGTTCATTATTCGACAACTTCTTTTGAACATCTGTTTTGAACTATCTTAACGTTAAGAGCATTCTATATTCATATGTATATAAGGAAGCAGAGTATTTGGAGTTAAGTTTACTTTATTACAATAGGTGCTTTCAAAAACAGCAAGTTGCTGGCTTATAGTTTCTTAAATGTACGCAAATAACAACACTACTTTCTCTATCTTAGCAACTAGTTGTGAAGTGGCCAAACACTTTGGCCAGTATAGAAAAAAGTGTTACCAACGCAATAAGTGAACTATTGTGAACCTTCATTGAAAACTTCAACGAATATTCCTGTAATATGTTAAAAGAATATAAACAAAAATTCAAGCAGAAAAAAATTTTTAAAAATTTGAAAATTTTGGAAATGAAATATTTTAAAAATATGCAAAATTGTGGAAAATATTTTAAATTTTATCTTTATATATATAATTCTTCTGTACGTGTGTTGACAGTGAACTCCTCCTAAACGGCTGAACCGGTTTTGATGAAATTTTTTACGTGTGTTCAAGTGGATTCAAGGATGGTTTAGATTCACAATTTGGTCCACTGGATAATGTTTTTTTAATTATTATACAGTTTTTTGGTATCCATATACATTTATATTAGACATTTAAAATTTATTCATGTTTACTTTGATTTGTTTAAAAAGTTTAAACTCTCTAAAATGAACCGTTCAACTATCCTGTTGAATTTTTGAATTCGTTGGATTTACCAGAAATGCGACCACATAACTTAAGATTAAAAATTGGCTCACCTATAATTATGCTGCGGAATTTAAATGCACCTAAGCTATGCAACGGCACGAGATTAGTCACAAAAAAATTATGGGCAATGTACTTGAAATGCCATGACAATTAAGGTCACAAGGTCAAACAATGTCGATTTGTGGGATAGATCTAGAAAATCAGGTCTTTTCACATGGCCAATTATATGTGGCGTGTTCTCACGTTGGAAACCCGTCATGTTTATTCATTCATACTCCTCAAAAATTGACTAAAAATATTGTTCATCAACTCGCATTAAGATGAAATTACATTATTATTGATTATTACGAAATGTTTTTAGAAAAATTGATGTTATTTGAAAATAAAGAATAACAAAATTATTACATTATTTGTCTTTCATTTCTTACTTTGTTTAATATCCTAATTGCTTAGTATATCATGCAGGATAACATCTGTTGGGTCCGCTAGTATAAATATATTTTTTTTAATTTATTATTAATTTTGTTGTAAAAGGAAATTTCAAAATTATGTATACAAGATTTGCCATTTGCCAAAACATAACACTTGACATATTGCAACAGTGATGCCAATGTCTCGCTTAGCGCGTATAGGCCAGCATGCTGTTTTTTGCCACACTTGCGAACCACCGAAAACACCTAATATTACAAGTTCAGGTGACAAAATCACAACTTGTCGACCAATTACTTCGTAAAATACTTATGCCGCAACATCTGTATTTTGGAAAAATTAAAAGTTTTAGACACTAATGTTATCGATGTATTATCGGAGACATTATTTAGTTAGCTACGCTAGGACTATACCACATACTATAAGTATAATATCCATATGACAATTTTACAAAATTTTAAACGAACAAGATGTGGACACTCTTATGTGTATACACTATAACAAATTAGTGAATTCGTTTAATGAATATGAAAGATAGTGAAAGATAAAAGATAGTGAAGTATGATAAAACGATAAGGATGAAAAACGTGACAACAGTATGATTGCTAATAATGATATACATGTTAAGAAACTGGTAGTAAATTTAAAAAGGATACTTAAAAGCTATATATAAATAGGTAACTACTTTGCGAAAAACACTGCAACAGAGAATAATGTAGTTGTGTGCAGCTTAGATACCAAAGAACTTACAAAAGAAAAGAGTCCTTTTCTTTTGTAAGCATGTCGCAAAAGAACAAATAAAATAAGCACTACTTTCAATGGCAACTCTAGATAAAACGGAAGATTTGTTAGGCTTACATATGCAAAACGTGTAATAAAATTTAAAGTTAAAATTTCAAAAATGAATAATAATTCTTTCCAATTATTGGTAAAAACATTTATTTATTATTTTACTGCCTTTTAACAGTAAAATAATAAATAAAAAAAATAATGTATTTGTTACAAACAATGATAACACGAAATACGAAAAATTAACGAAATCATTCGTTGACAGTGAACTGGAAATTTCATATGTACTTCTAAAAATCGTTCACAATAGACGAGTTTTTAGTCATGACAACCATGCAATTTGAACTGCTTATTAGTTAAGCGGTTTCAAAAAGGTTGGACTAAATAACCGAGCAGTGTTGTTGTTTCATATGTTATTTTTAAATTAAGCGGTTGTTATTTTGTGATTTGCTTACAAAAGAAAACGCCTAATATTGGTGTTGAAATTCATAAATAAAATGTTAGACATGGGTCGAAGTTTAGGAGCTCACGCCATAAGTAATTATAATTAATATTAACTCAGCTATATAAAGTACTAATTTTTGAAAGTCAATCATTATATTTTTAATTAGCTCATTTTAAAGCTATTAATTTACTGCATTTTACTCTCCAACTTCTCCAATTTCTCCAACCAGGCGCACAACAAAATCCTTAAAATTATTTGGAACTCTGCAGTAAAGTCATTTCGAATAATGCGATATATAATGCGATATATAATGCGATCCTCGCCTAATACGCCTAACAGCCCTATAACTAGAAGCAAACATTTAACGTAGACAAAATCCGTAACCGAAGTACGGAACATTTGTGTTGTATGTGTTGTGCTAAGTGTGGTCAGATTTGAACTAGAAAGTGCGTATTTCTCGAATATAAACATTGAAATACTCAAAGCTTCAAACAGCTCGAGTGATATTTGAAACACTTATCTAGATATTAACGATTGTTTCCAATTTTCATATAACATAGTGAAGTAGTGCTGGTTTTGGCAAACACTTAAGACCATTGAGCTGATTGACTAGTAATAGATAATTTTCGCAGAAATGCATGTGTAAAATGTATAACTTGCTTACATATAAAAAGGACCAATCTGGGTCCTTACCAGCTATGAATTCTATTCTATTTTTATTCTATACAATGCTAGTATTAGAATAGTCTTACTTTCAACAAAATATTATTTCAAACAAGGTAGTGATGATCTAAGGTGTATATAAATTTAGTTGATAACAAAAAGAAAAAAAAATAAGAAAAAGCATTACAAATGTTCCTTCTGTGAAAGTTAAGTAAATTTAAAAACGCAAAAAAATGTGATATAGATTTAATATGATTAGTTGCATAGACTAGTAAGTTTTATCTAACATTAAGTTGAGTGATTTTTTTCAAGATTATGTGCTAGTTAATTTTCTTATTATATTTAAAATAAACTCTGAGGATGATTACCAACAATTATTAAACTTTTAGAAAATAAAAAATGTTAAAATGATGAATTTCTTAACAAAATTTGTGTAAAGCACAAAAAGAATTTCTTCATAAGTAGTTATGTGAAAGCAAATAACCAATTTATTAAATAAATATTCTCTATCCACCATTTTTTATACTCGTATTATTTGTATAAAATAGTAGAACAAATATATATGGAATTGCCCTCCCGCTACGAATGTGTATATTATTTTTATTATACTTTACAGATGATTACAAATCGTTTATAAAACTTAATAATTTATTATCGCGTTCCTCACTCATATAGTCCAACAAGCTTGTACGACTTACTACTAATATTTTGGTTTATATATAATTAATTATCTCGAACGGGTCTCAGTACTGATTTTGTGTTTGCGCTCAAAGTACGTGTGTCATAATGAAGATTCATTTCTCAGTTATTAGTGCAGTATATGTTTTATATATTATAGAGTCTACAAGTGCTTCTACAGGTAAAATATTTGTTGCTTCTGCTTTATTTAACACCTAGTTATTATCCTAATAAAATCAAATCACAAACATATAACATATTTTTATATTTTACTCGTTTCCCATATTTGTCTTGTTTTTTCTCAATACTGGCTTACGCTCAAATCAGACTCCATAAGCAAGCAAACTTATCTCCATTGTCTGTCTGTTTCAATGCGAACTTGTCTCTCAATTAACTGCGTAGGTATGGTAACATTGGATTGCATTGTATTTTATTTTAATTTTATTTTAATTTTAGTACCAACGAATGTTACTTAATCTTTTATTGAACAAACTCCTAAAAATACATATTATTAAGATACGAACTCACCAAAAACTCGGTTCAGGATGCATTCAGTTATTCAAATACTTGCCAAATCCAAATCCAAATCCAAATTTCATAATACTCGTAACCATAATTTATACTACCACAACTTTAGAGATACATTACTCAAACCAATATCGACCATAAAAACATGTCCAAATTGATATCACAACTGGGCACATATAATTTATATCTTTATCTAACATATAGATTAGGATATAAAAAAGATTTTTATATTTTTTTGAGGAGCAACCACCAACTTGGTCTTGGTGTCTACAAAAATTTGGTTTGGTGGCTACAAAAATTCTTCATATAAAAATCTTCGAAAAGATTTAGTCCATCAAATATTCTCTTACTTTGAGGTCTAATGCATACTGAAATGGTTTTGAAATTGTAATCCAAAGTTGTAATTTTTTGAGAATTATTACAAGTTTTTGCGGGGACCTCAATTAGTGTTAATTATATTTATTAAAATACGCATATAATTAGAATTATGTTAAAAATTAGTATATAGAAATTGGTAATATAATAATACAAAATAACTAAAATGATTAAAAATCAAAAACGACATAAAAGGTAAAAAAGCACCCCAAAATTTTTTTTTAAGACACCATTCAGTAAAATGTAATATTATTCATATGGAGATAGTTCGCTTTCACTCCAACATAATCTTCTTATTGCGTGGAGTATTGGATAATCCACCAGAAAGTGAAGTAGTAGTTTAGGAGGTACTTTAAGGTTAGTACCTCATGTTCTTGCTTGAAATATTAACGACATAGTAGCTCTGTTATGCATAGTTTTGAATAACTCCGCGCGCTATTGTCCACACTTTGTAAAACTTTGTCTTGCGAGATTTTTCAGGAACCCAGTCTAGCTATTTAGAAGTCTATACTGTATTCAGCCGCTAATATTCTCACTGTGAATAAAATTGACATTTGGTTTCCCGGATATGATGACTATCCTGAGCAATTGGTTTACATCCAACTTTACTGTTTTGTCTCGGAAATCATAAGTTAAAAGTTATAACTTTTAACTAACTTAAGCAAACAATTTAACTAACTCATTTTGTTACTCCGCGGATCGTTAGTTATTTATTTTGGAATAATAAAATAACATTAAATTTCCATTTACATTCTTGTTTTTATTTTTCGTTTTTACAACACTTGTCGAGCTCAACGCAAGCGGTAGTCAGTTTGCAAATTGGACACATACCAATTCCTACATTTGGCGATAGTAACAGGACACGCCCGAAGTGGCCAACTTATATTAAAATTTTCATACAAATACATATGTATATACATATATAAATATAAAATGATATCAATCGTAAAGTAAAACAATGTAAATAATAAGCATTATTCGTACAATAATATTTACTTAACAGTGGTATACCGTTTGTGTGTGTGAATTGCTAAAGAAAAGAAAAAAGCACACAATGCAAAACTTTCTTGTTTTTTTTTTTGGATTTTCAAGGTTGGTAAACTATAGTATGCAAAACTCCTCTACGGTTGCTTATGCTGCTTCTGCAGACAGCGCAGTTTCGAACGGTTCGATAGCATCAGGTTTGAATGCAACTGGTATAACATCTTTTGCAGCAGATAACATACAACATGAACTTTAGACGAACTCAAACAGCAACGAGCACCTTTACAGGGCAGCATAACCTGACTTAAAAATATTGTTGATAGCAAACAAATATTATCAGCAACAGAGTTAGAATGCCGATTAGGTATATTGTGGACGCATACCACAAACAAGTATCTACAAACTACAAAACGCAAATTGAAGGATTCTGTCCCACGGATTCGTCAAGAACAGAACACGATGAGGACAAAGTTTCCACGAACAAACTTAAAATTATCTGAATTCGATGGTAAATGCTTAGAGTACAAAAATTTCATAAATTCGTTTACAAATCTTATGTGGAAAGCTCTATGAACAGTGAAAGCTTTTCAGATTACAGAGGATAACTATCCAAAAGCACTTCAACGTCTGAAAGAACGTTACGACATAATCTTCTTGGAGGGAATTTCTCAATTGTTCGAAGTCCTCAATGTAATACAGCTGATGCTATTCAACTTCGACAATTGGTAGATAATATATCAGCTCTATATGGTTCACTTAAATCTTTAGGATCCTATGAACTGATTTGTGATGCGATTATTATTCATTTGGCTATGACGAAAACAGATTCAGATACTAAACTTAAATGGTCGGATCACAGCAAGCTACCGAAATGGTCAGAATGTGGCACATTACTTGAGCTGCAAGCAATTAGACGCTTGCAGCGTTTCTTCCACTTCAAGTTGATCATTGTGCAACTGAAGTTTATCATAGGCGATTGTGTATTAATTGCTTATCTAACCAACATGCAGCTCCACAATTTTCATCAAAATATAGTTGACGTTTTTACAAACAACGTCACCATTCGTTGCTACATTAACACTCCAGCGTACAGAAGACACTTCTTCATCAAATATCAATCGAACGTCTTTGAGGATGCAGCAACCTACAGTGCCAACATCTGCAACGTCGTTGATTACACATGCGATGATGCCATCATCAACCATCATATTGGCTACTGCAGTGATCTTAGATTTGATTAGATTTTAAACGGGTTAAGAACTTATTACCACGTCACTGTATCCTTTGAGCATTATTGTGACAAACCGATTTTAGTTCCATAGACGAGTAGCAGTTTAAAACGCCATTATGTCTTTTGGAGAAATGTTGGCTAATTCCGTTATAAGTGGATAGACATAGTTCAATTTCGTTAAAATGGAGGTATGTTCTTGTCCCAGTCTATCCTGTTTGGTATTAGTATTAAGATCTTTTGGTGAAACTTAAATTTATGACAAATGTCAAATATGGTGATATTTAGGGAATTATTGAGTTATGATCTTGTTGATCGATTTCTAGTCAACTGTAGGCTATAAAAGTCATTGCAAACTCAAGGACTACTGTCAGGGTGGTTCTCATAGCTCCATTTATCATAATGCAGGCTAATCTTTGCTGCTTTCGTAGCTTATCTGTCAGTCTTTTGCTGAGGTTATTTTTACCAGATGGTTGAACCATAAGTAACAATTGGCCTAGCAATAGATATGTACATCCAGAGACTATGTGTAGAATTTGGGCCCCAGTGTTTACCAATGAGGTTTCTGCTGGTCCATAATGCTTCTCTGGCTCTTCGGATAATGTTGTCTACATAAAAATTATACGTCAGTTTCTCATTTAGAATCATTCCCATTTACTTTGCCTGGGAATGATAAACAGGTAACAGCTGTTGGTTCTTCTCAATCCAGGAATGGGTTATTACAAAGCAATTTTTTTTTTGCGTGGTGAAGACAATCAGACTTGTTTTTGTACTTCTGTTAGAAATATAAGTGACTCTTTGTAGTCATTGGTGTAAACGCCATCTGGTCATTTTAGAAGCCTAATGGAATTAGTGTGGATTTTCGAGATAACTTTGGGGATCTTAGCGCTACTGTTTAAGTTTTGAATCTCAGAGCAGAAGCTTCTCCATTATTTTCTTTTTGCCCTTCTAATTTTCTTATTGTAGGCGGTGAGGGTTTTCTTAGAAGGGTCCCAGTCACTATTGGTTTTAGCCTTGTTAAAGAGGCTCCGGGATTCGACTCTAAGCTTGGCTAATTTGTTGTTCCACAACAGACAGTTCTCATAGTAGGCATTTATATTAGTTGTGCCTAAGGCAGCGTCAGCTAAGTCATAAATGTTACTTATCGTATGTTTGTTATTGCTTAGTTTGGTCATGAGTTCATCTGTAAATCAATCGAATTCTGTGGCCCTACGCACCCTATACGATTCTGTAACTTTCATATTTAGATCAACATCAAATATTATCTGACGTGGATCAGACATGAATGTTTCTACTGAAACATTCCAGTTTATGATAAACTGTTTTATTAATGGTGTGGCTATGCCACTTTAAAGTGGGCATATTACCCGTATTTATTTAGGTTACTACCAGTTATAAATTCAATTAGGCATTCCCCTCTCTTCTTGATATTGATGCTGCCCTAATTGTGTGGTGAGCATTAGTGTCACTTCCAACGATGAATTGCTTCTTGTTTTTTGCACTGTAGTCCACCAGTAATTTCTGTGATAAGTCCAGATCTTGGAAGTCTTCAGGTAGGTAAGATAAGCAAACACTGAGCTCTGTCTTACTTAGTGAGGTGTCCACAGATATCACAGCTGCTACCTGTTCCTTATTGGTGTGCTGTGGAATAATTTTTTTTTTTTTTTTATTTTTTTTTATTTATATTTAAACAAAATGAAAAGTTTAACTTTACAACAACTAGTCATATTGACTAACAAGAGGTTTTTTTTATTACAAGTAAGTTTATCTAAGTCTATCTAGGGTGAGCATATAGATACGAACTAGTCATCTCCTTGCTGGTTGAAACGTCTCAAAAGGTCATTAGGTTTGAAGCGACATAAGCGTCTGTGAGTGACATCACAAAGTAGCGCTGGAATGGTGCTGTTTAAGTGTTGTCTCAGCCTGTCATAATGTTTTTTAGCAGCCTTCTGAATTTCTTGTTTGACAGTAGGTATTTTTAGGTCTCGATGTAGATCAGAATTTCGCACGTACCACGGAGCGTTAACTGCATCTCTGATTGCTTTGTTTTGAAATCTTTGCATCAT